AGTCCTGTCTGGGCTGGAGAGAGAGCGGCCGCAGTGCAGACCTTAGAAAGACTGAGGCCTGGGCCCCGGCGAGGCAGAAAATGCCCAGCTACAAACTCTGCGTCGAGAGAGGGAACCAGCTGCAGCACCTTGGCGAAAGGGCCCCGCGAGTCTCTCAGGAGCTGGGCAGAGCAAAGGTCTGTTGGCTTGTCTGGCCCATCCCCCTGGGGCGGACTGTGCCCTGATCCCAAGGGATGGGCTAAACTCCACTTGGGGCCGGCTGCGCAGTCTGCCTGCTTTCCCCGGGCCCGTGTGACGCGCACGACGTCCTTCCTCTCCCTGGGCATTCGTACCCTTCGCAGCCTGGGGCGGCCACGGGGTCCCCGCTTGCCAGCCAGCGGAGATGTCTTTGGGCCCGTTTCATCTTGCTTGCCCGCAGGCGCGGCTCTTTGCTGAGATCGCTGCAGGGCTCCCCGGAGCCGTGGGAAGAGGGACGGAGCCCTCCCAGCCCCGAGATGTGGCCCCCCGGCCTCGGCGCGACCTGCCGGATAGTGCTGCGCGCCCTCTGGCCATGGCGCGTCTCAGCTTCTCTCATTGCCCCGGGGATGGGGGCTGCACGTGGCCGTGTCTTCCGTGCGCTGGCTGCTTTATTGCACTCTGCGCCTCGCTGGGTTATTCCTGCCTCTCACCTCCTCACGTCCCCTTCCCGCACATTTGTGACCACACTGGTGTGTGCAGCGCATCCCGATCTGAGGGCCGCTGTGGGGGTTCTGTTCACTGGCACGCCCGATAGTTCCTTAGATCCAGTGCTCTGGCCACACCCCCCCCGACCCCTCGCCACATCTGTAGACTCCTGACCGAAGGCCCATGGGTTATTCCTGCCTCTCACCTCCTCACGTCCCCTTCCCGCACATTTGTGACCACACTGGTGTGTGCAGCGCATCCCGATCTGAGGGCCGCTGTGGGGGTTCTGTTCACTGGCACGCCCGATAGTTCCTTAGATCCAGTGCTCTGGCCACACCCCCCCCGACCCCTCGCCACATCTGTAGACTCCTGACCGAAGGCCCATAAGAGCTTGCCAGGCCGGGTCAGACCAGGGTCGCTCTGGCCCCGTATCCCATCTCTGACAGTGACTGGTACGGAGCTTCAGGGAGAGTGTATGGAACCGGGCAATTCTGGAGTGATCCGCCCCATCTTCCACTCCCAGCTCTTGGCAGACAGGGGCGTAGGGTTGCCCTGAGCGTGGGTTCCAGCCCTGGTCCTCCTGGCTACCAGCCATCAATGGGCCCATCCTCCAGCTGCACTTTTGGCCTTCACTGCATCCCATGGCAGTGAGTTCCACAGGTTAGCTGTGCAATGTGTGGAAAAGTCCTTCCTCGTGTTTGTATTAAACTGCTGCCTGTTAGTTTCTTTGGCTGACTCCTGGGTTTTGTACCGTGGGAGAGGGCAAAACCCACATCTCTGCTCACTTTCTCCTCCCAGTCTGTGATTTTATAGACCTCTGACTTCCCCACCTGGAGTGCTCTCCGTTCAAGGCGGAACGCCCTCATTCTTTCAGTTTCTTCTTGGATGGGTCTCTCTGAATCTTTCCCCGTTTCCCTCGAGCCTCTGTGGGGTGAGGCTACAGAATCAGACGGGATTCACCAGGGCTTGATTTAGTGGCACAGAGAGATTTTTCTCTCTTATTTTCTATCCCTGGTTCCATAGTTCCCAGCATTTTGGGAGCCTTTTTGTCCACTGCTGGTTCCTGACCTGAAGTTTTCAGAAAACTATCCGTGGTGACTCCCGCCGTTTCTGTCTTGGGGTGTAAGAGTTAATTTCAAACTCTCACTCTGCGTTACTTGGGATTAGTTTTTTCCAGTTGCGCTTGACTTTGCATTTCTCAACATTGAATTTCATCTGCCATTTTGTTGCCCAGTGGGGTGAGAGCCTTTTGAAGCTCTCCACAGTCTGATTAGGACTTAACAATGAGCTCAGACCATTTTGAATTGTCTGCTAACTTGCCACTTCTCTGTTCACCCCTTTCCCCCAGTAATGAATATGCTGGATAGGTCTGGTCCCGGGACGGGTCCCTTTGGGAACGTGCCGTTTACTCTGCTGTCTCCTGGTTACTGATCCATCAGAGCCCCTCTCTTGTATCCTGGGCTACTTGGTTTTCTCATGAGCCTTTGGCAAGGGACCTTGTCAGCGACTTTCTGAAAATCCAAGTATGCTGCGTCGACTGGGTTCCCGTCGCCACGTCCTTGCTGGCTTCCGCAGAGTCCAAGAGCTGGCGAGGCCTGGTTTCTCTTCACAAAGCCGGGTTGGCTCTTCCGCTGTGAATTACGCTCACCCCCGTGCCTGGTCATTCTGCTCTTGGCTGCAGCTTGTGCTGCTTTGCCAGGATCGCAGCGGGGGCCCTTTCGAAAGATTGGCGTCACGGTAGCTATCTGCCCGTCATCCGAGGCTGATTTGCGCCCTCAGTTACGTAGCAGTTCCGCATGCCGCCTGGTCCTGGGGACTTGCGGCTGCTGAACTCCTCAGTGGTAGGGCAGAGAGCTCCGTCTGGGATTGCTGTTCAGATCTGTCGCCCAAAGACCAAGTGTGGGGAGGGAATGTCCCCCCAGCTCCTCTAAGTGGAGAGCGAAGCGACGGGTCTCGGCAGCATGGCCCGTTGGGGGGCGGGGGCTGCCCAGCCTGTCTGGGGTTTCCTGCTTTACTGTTAGAGTCTGGGCCTTCAGCACGTGGCTTCTCCAAGTCCTTGGCCTGGCCAGCGACCCTGTTACCTGCCCGCGCGGGGGCCCTTCCTGCTCTCCTCACTTGGGTTTGACTTGCGTGTTTGCCTTTGTGCCTCTAGCGGGCTGCCCCGGCAGCGCTCTCCAGCGCCCCTGCCCAGCCTGTCTGGGGTTTCCTGCTTTACTGTTAGAGTCTGGGCCTTCAGCACGTGGCTTCTCCAAGTCCTTGGCCTGGCCAGCGACCCTGTTACCTGCCCGCGCGGGGGCCCTTCCTGCTCTCCTCACTTGGGTTTGACTTGCGTGTTTGCCTTTGTGCCTCTAGCGGGCTGCCCCGGCAGCGCTCTCCAGCGCCCCCCTCGGTTTGGATCGGGCTGTGGTTTGGCCTGAGCCTCGGTGAGGGGGGTTTGCACAGTCTCATGTGGCTTTTAGGCCCTTTACCCGGCTGACTCCTCGTCCGTTTCCATCTCGCGAGCGCCGCTGGCCCGGCCTTGTTCCCTTTGTTCACGTTACACCTGCTTTGCAGCTCCCGAGGGCTGATCCCGCCAGTGCCACGTGGCCCTCTTGTGGCCCTGTCCCCGTGGCGTGTGAGCCTCGCCCTTGTGCCTGACGGGTTGGCTGAGGCTGAGGTGACTCTCTCCAGCAAAGGGAGCCGGTTTAAAAACCAGCTCCTCTGGTGGGCCGGCTGCATGTCGCCCTGTGCTGCTCCCTCTGATACAGAGGCAGTAGCGCGGGGTGGCAGCAGCCAGTGCCACGTGGCCCTCTTGTGGCCCTGTCCCCGTGGCGTGTGAGCCTCGCCCTTGTGCCTGACGGGTTGGCTGAGGCTGAGGTGACTCTCTCCAGCAAAGGGAGCCGGTTTAAAAACCAGCTCCTCTGGTGGGCCGGCTGCATGTCGCCCTGTGCTGCTCCCTCTGATACAGAGGCAGTAGCGCGGGGTGGCAGCAGCCCCTGTGTGTGGGGGGGGGCTGGGCTCCCCGGACCCTGTGTGGGGGGGGTCTGAGCTCCCGGACCCTGTGTGAGCCGGAACTGAGCCGGGCTGCCCGCCTGGCTCCTAATGCACTTGAAATGCAGAGCGCCAGCAGGTGAGGTCCCGGACCCGTTTCAAGCCAGGACTGAGCCGGGCTGCTGGCCAGCCTGCTAAGGAATGTCCTGGCAAGCAGGGGGGAGATGCGTGCAGTCCGTAGCGTTAGCCCGTACGCTTTTACTCATGGGTTAATCGACTTCAGTTACATCCCTAGGGCGGGAGTGCTCGGACGCCCCCGCCTCCGCCGGCTGTCACGTGGTCCCTGGCCCGTCTCGGAACCCGCGAGTGGCCCGTCTGTCACCTGCCGGCGGCGGAGCAGGGAGAGGGGCCCCCTGTGCTCACTGCCGCTGATGAAGGTGCGGGGCAACTTTCAGGGCTCTGGCGGGGGAGGCGTGTGCTGCGTTGTGGCTGGCGCGCCGGGGGGGGGCTGCTCCCACCTCCACCAGAGCCATGCTCCCTGCCCTCCACCAGCCCCTTCGTGTGCTGCCCCGAGATCCTGGTCTCCCCCAGCGAGTCGTCAGGGTCTTGTTCGAATACCTGGGTGGGGGGAGCAGCTGGAGCCCAACGGGCGTGCAGACCGGCCCGGGGGCCCCTTCCCTCGCTCCCCTGGCCCCGCGCGCCAGCCAGTACCTGCGCTCTGTGTCTGCCTTTGTTCGAGAGCCCGCTCTGTAAACGAACCCCACAGCTCCAGGGCTCAGCGGGGGCCAGGGGAAGTGAGTCTGTTAGCGCCTGAGTCTAATCAAGGCGGCGAGAGCGAATAAAGTAGGGCAGCGCGGTACATTAGCTGCTGTGTAAATGAACCCTTTGATGGGCCGGGCTCGGCGGGAGAGGGTTTGCAGCCAAGAAGAACTTTGGTTGTTAATTCAGTGACATGTGGGAGCTGCAAAGCGCCGCGCCGCGCGCACACACGCGAGGGGGGGAACAGCCTCGCGCCCGGGCTTTTCAACGCCTGCCCTCGGACCTAGTCTGAAAACTTTCAGCCCCCGTCTCCCTCTTCCGCCACTTGGTTTTCCTTTCTCGCGCTTCCTTTCTTTTTCTTCCCCCGCACTATAAAAAGCAAAGCTCTTGCCTTTTGAACTAGCCGGCTGCGAGTGAGGGCTAACTCGAAGCTGTGTGGCTCTCTTACCTTTGTGTTCCAGATGAAACTGCCAAGCTCGGTGGGACAGAAGAAGATTAAAGCCCTGGAGCAGATGCTGATGGAACTAGGAGTAGGTGAGTAAAGGGGGCATGCGAGAGACGAGACACACAGAGCAGGCCTTTGTAGTCGGGATGGGCTACTTTTCCCCAGTCATACCGCCGCTTTCTCAAATCACAGAGTGCGAATGGGTTTTCAAATGATCTCTTCTGGCTCTTTCAAGAGGGTAGAAGCCAGAACAGGACGCGCAGGGTTGGTTCCCCTCCCAGAAGAAACAGGATTTCAAAAGGCCTTTGTCTCTCTCGTTTGGG